TTACCTTATAGGATTCTAAATATGAGGTCGAAGCTTTCTCGGTGTCAAATTTGCATTTGAGGGTTCAGGGTTGCAGTTGGCGGATCGGAGGGTTTTGTCTGGGGCTGCCGGGTTCAAGGTTGCAGTTGGGCGTTGAAGGGTTTTTGGGCTGAAGCTTGGTGATTGCATTTGGGGGTTTTTACGGGTCCATTTAGGTTAAAACCAAGCACAACAGTTACAGCTTTTTTTTTGTAGTTGGCTTAGGGTTACGGTTACAACTTTTGCTACATCTGCCCATAATTGACTCGTCAGGACGAAGCGAGGCCGAAGAACGATGAGTACATTCACGGCAGGACCTCTCCGTTGCAGGGAAGGACCGTTTGCATCAGCGATTTCGGGCTGCGGGGTACCAGACCCCTAATGACCCCCTTATCTTATTCCTTAGGTATAGAATCCGCGACTCCTCCTAGTCCCTGACATCCCTCATCTCCTGCAAGCTTCAGGACTGCTGTTGAAACTGGCACCTCCAGCCCTGTTCGCGGGAGTTACGTGGCTTGGATCCGAATGACTGACGCAGTTGGACGCCACCATGTGCACATGGGGAGTTCTTACAAGTGAATGATTAAGGCGACTAATTAGGGGGGGGGGGGGGGGGGGGNNGGGGGCGCGGATCCTTCTAATCCGTATGCAGGAGAGTGCTATTAGGTGTACAGAAGAAGATCCGTGAATTTGTAAAGTTTTCATGTCAATGTGAAGTTGTGAGTTGATGCCACCAAGGTGGCGTCTCCACAACGCACAAGTTCAGCCTCGGCACAAGGCACACCGTCGCGCGGATGGGATACTGGGATGTATGACCCTGATGAACCATGAGTGATAAAGTGCAGAAGCAATCAGAGTCTTCGCGAAGCCAGAGATTCAACCCAACTGGAGTTAGCAGTTTCCATGCAGCTTCGGTAAGTTCCGCACCTGGTTGAATCTGTGGGGCGCAGTCCAGCACATTGTGGTTTAGGCAGCAGGGGGCCATTGCCATGATGGATGGGGCCGAAAGTCCGAGCTGCAGTGCAGAGATGAGAGACAGCATAAGACAGCTTACAGTAGATACTTCTTGAAGCTTCAACACGTTGTCTGTGCAATCGCTGTCGTTTTCGTTACTTCAGCCTTCCATGCACCAATGGAGCTTTTGTAGGGCCCGTGGATCACGACATGTCAAACTCTCGCTTCTGGGGTGGAGTTGCGGGTGGTCAGGAAGTCGCGATGGCTATGTCGACCAGCAATCCCAGATAACGGCTCATGCTGCGTCCCAGCAACTGTTGGAACACCAGAACCGACTGGCCAGATGCCAAGACATGCTGTGCATGAAACATTCATGTGTGTATAGCCGCGGTTGCTAAAGCTGTACAGGACTGCATAGGACTGCTCGGCTGCGAGCTTCCAGCTTACTCTAGCTTATGACTTTGTTTCCTCGCGTCTTGCTGATACCGATTTTTTCCAAAAGAGCACTCTAAGGTGGAAGACCGGCAAGCGCTGATTCTCCAGGTCGGTCCTGTTTGGGGTGCATGTCCTGGAATTCGATTCCAAGGGCTTTCGGCCTTGGCGCAACATTTCATTGCCCCCTAAACCCACGACCTCCTGAAGCCCTGCGCTCCTAAACCTCCGCATTCCTAAGCTCTTTTGGGCCTTGTCAGCCCTTTACCCCCTTTAGCCCCGTAGATCCTTAGCCCCAACTCCATCGGAGAGTCGCAGCCGACCGGAATGCACAGGTCGAGCAGCTGAGGCAGGAGAACCGAAGCTTGGAGGAGAAGCTCCGCAGGCGGGACGTGGAGCCTGTACCTCGTCTTTGGTTAGTACGTAGCCCTTTGAAAAGAACCCCTTACTTCGTCTTCGTCTGAAAGGTAGCCCTTTGAAAGGTAGCCCTTTGAAAGGAACCCCTTCAAGGAACTGTAGTGTAATTACTGGTGCCTCTATAGGTACCCTACTTATGTAGGGATAGCTTACTTGGTCGGTTAAGGGTTCTATGAGTGTTTAGGACATCCGCCAATTTATGTAGAAGCCGAAACAACTGCCAATACTACTCTTCAGGGTTCCTGAGTATGTTATATATATATATATGGTCATACTACGTTACACCCCAAAACCCTATGAGCTTAACAGACCATAGTAACTTTTAGGGTTCCGTTACGAGAGCTGCATACTGTTCCTGTTCAATCAAGAGTTTAGGAATTTCACAAGGGCTCTCACCGGGTTTGGGGAATTTCGTGGGACGTTTATAATGTTCCTCCGTCAAGGATCAGGCGGGGCACTCCTCATATCCCTTATGTCCTTGAAGAAAGAGCCGCGGTTTAGGGTTTTGGGTTAAGGGTTAGAAGAGCACGATACGTGGAGCTACGATCTTCTTATGGTATCTGAATGTAACATCCCGGATCGAAACAGGCAACCTCAGGGGGTTCGTCGCGTTCTCAAAGATTGATTTGGGCTCCACAAGAGTGCTGTACGCCTGAGGTGTTCTTTCTATACAGACACCTCCAGCCCTTGAGAACCTAAGCAGGGTATGTTGGAAGCTTTTTAAAGCCAAAGCCAGAGTTTAGGGGTTGAGGGGTTTGGGCTTTGGGGGCCCTATGTAAAATTTTGCAGGATCCCTATAAAATCCACACTAGGGCTTTTAATGAGAAAAGCTCTTCCTTAAAGCAAGAGCCGTGCGAGGCAGAGCGACTGCGACAGGCGGAGATATTCGCAGCTGGAGGAGAACTTCGTCAGCTTGGAGGCCTCTAGGGGAAAGGATCATGGGACTTAGTAAGTAGGACTTATAACCTTACTTACTAAGTCCCATGATCCTCCAAATAGGGGAAAGGCGGGTTCATACCGCCTCAGCCTTTGGATTTAGGGTTGAGGGGACTCAAGGAGGGACGCTTAAAAGGACCCTTGGGGTTATATAGGGTCTTTCTGAGACTAGATAAGGGGTATATAAGGGTTGTATGGGGTATTTGCACTAGGGGTCCCTCCTATTGTCTCTTGAGTTTGAAGTTTAGGGTGAGTTTAGAGTTTCGGGTCGCTGGATTCCCAAAAAAACAGGGTGGCTTGTGCGCCCGCAACTACGGGCATGGGGGACGGCAGATGGCCGGCCCATACATCCTAAACCTTAAACCCTAAACCTTACACCCGGTTAAAGAAAAACTACTTTAGACCCAGAACCTTACCTAAACCCCCAAAAGTAGGTAAGATCATAGCCCAAAGCCTATACCGGGCTATTATTCTACATACTTTTTGGATGGGCCCGCACTTTTTTTTCCTAACGTTGGCGGTCCCCGGCGGCCCTTGGTAACGTTGGCGGTAAGCCC